CATCATACATATGTAATTATATAGAAAACTAATGAAATTTTTTTAATAGAATTGCAGCTATCGGACAATGAGTTAAATAATCTCACACTAATTGAGATTGAGAACATGATGCAATCGAATCGAAGAAGTTTGCATGAATTTAAATGTATGCCGTATCCAGATTCATACATCACAAAACATGTTGGCAATAGGCTTATTTATGACGAACTTAATTACAATGCCGATACCGAGAAACAGAAATTCCAATAACTTTTTCATGCCCTTACAGGTGATTTATTTTCTTTATACTATGAATTACAAAAATGATTTTTATTGTCCTTGCAGTTATAATTCTTGGTTTGTATTTTATAGATGAACAACGTTTGATATTTGAGAAAATCATGGATGTTGTTAACAAACAGAGTGGAGGGGTATTTTTCTTGCATGGTTACGGAGGGACTGGTAAAACTTTCATGTGGAGAACACTATCAAATGCACTTCGTTCTCAAAAAAAAATTGTTCTTACTGTTGCTTCAAGTGGGATAGCTTCGTTATTATTGCCGGGTGGAAGAACAACACACTCAAAGTTCAAAATACCTGTGCCAACGCTTGACAACTCAACTTGCAACATCGACAAAGACACCGAACATTCTCAATTATTTGAAGCAACGGGTGTGATAATATGGGATGAGGCACCTATGTCTCACAAGAACTGCTTCAAAGCATTGGATAAAACCCTTAAAGATGTAATGAGCAAAAAGGGTGTTGAGAATACTATTTTTGGTGGAAAAGTTGTTGTATTTGGAGGAGATTTTAGACAGATTCTTCCTGTTGTTCCAAGAGCTGGGCGTTCTGATATTGTTCATGCATCAATTAGTTCATCTTATGTATGGGATTATTGCCAGGTTTTAACACTATCAAAAAATATGAGACTTCAAGAGGGAAGAGACAACACAAGTTCTAATGAACTAGCGGAATTTTCAAAATGGATTTTAAATGTGGGTGATGGTAAGATTTGTGAACCCAATGATGGTTTGGTTGATATTGAAATTCCTCAAGAGCTATTAATATCAAATTTTGATGATCCTATAAGAGCAATTGTTGAAAACACATATCCCAATTTGTTGGAAAAATATCAAGATGTTGAATTCTTACAAGGAAAGGCTATTCTTGCTTCAACCATTGAAGTTGTGGACAAAATCAATCATTATGTATTAGACTTGATACCAGGTACATGTGTTTTATATTTACTGTATTATTACATTCATAATATATATATATATATATATATATATATATATATATATATATATATATATATATATATATATATATATATATATATATATATATATATATATATATATATTTAAGAACATAGTTTTACTAATTTATTTATGTTTTGCTTTTAAATTTTTTTTTAGGAGAAGAGAAAGAGTATTTGAGTTTTTATTCCATTGATAGAACAAATTCAAGTTATACTGAAGCATATGAAGTTCTAACTCCTGAATTTCTCAGTAAATTAAGAACATCAGGGCTTCCCAATCATAGGATCAAATTGAAAGTTGGTACACCTATTATGCTAATGAGAAATTTGGACCAAGTCGATGGGTTGTGCAACGGAACAAGATTAATTGTTACAAGATTTGCAAATCATGTCATTGAGGCAAAAATCATGTCTGAAAAGAACATAGGTAACATTTTTTACATTCCACAAATGTCTATGTCACCTTCTGATTCACCTTGGCCATTCAAGTTGATTAGGAGACAATTTCCGATTATTGTCTCCTATACAATGACAATTAATAAGTCACAAGGTCAATCTCTTGATAGTGTTGGATTTTATTTGCCTACTCCTGTGTTTAGTCATGGTCAATTATATGTTGCAATTTCAAGAGTTAAGAGCAAAAGTGGGCTAAAAATCCTAATTCATGACAAGGAGAATGTACCGTGTTCTACTACTACTAATGTTGTGTACAAGGAAGTCTTTCAAGCACTTTGATAGTTGGTAAACTTTATATCTTATACTTTACGATTCAAATTAAAAATCTATTTTGAATTAAAATATATAGTATGTACATTTTCCATGTATTTCAAGAAGTATATAATTTTTTCTATTTGTTCATGCAGACGTGATTTGTTGATAGGACCGACGCTTGCTACAAATATGGAGTTAAATGCCAACATGATTTACATGAGACATATACTCAACTGAAAACATGGTAACATACTTAATAATTTAATAATCTATAAATGTAATGTGAATCCAGACGAGACCCGTGCGATAGCACGAGTTTGTTACTAGTTGAATTTAAAATATAAACAAATTAAACAATTCTAAGCATATTTATTAACAATGTTGATACATATATTAAATACAATGGATGGTCCAGCCATTCAAATGTTTGAATGTTGATCATTCGATTTAATTTTAAATCATGAGTAATTAGAGGATGTTCCATTCCGATAGGATACCACGGGCAGGGTCGGGATAGTTTTAATCTCCTTTAAATTAAAATTAAAATATTTAAATAATTTTTGTTTTCTGTTCTAAACTTAAATAGAGATGAAGAATTAAAATTCAAATTCGTCTCAAATAGATTTAGATTGGATTCGAGTATCTCTATTTTGTCACCATCTATTTAGTAAAATTATTTTTTTAATAAAAATATTTATTTATTTTCCTAAATCAAATCACATTATAAATGATAAGATAAAATAATCTCAATTTTTTTTATATATTTCAAATAAATACAAATTAAATTATCAAAATATTGACAACATATTTAATATTCTAAATTATCAAAAATAAATAATAATGCAAATAATTTGTGGTGGATACTAGAGTTCCTATTACACAATTCATCTCCGTATCTTATAATTGGAAAAAATCCAAATCCAAATCCAAATTCAATAAAAGCGGATTTTCTCAGTCAACTTCGAGTGGTATCCACATATATGAGTTTTGCTGCCATAACTATATTCCATAATCAAAATTTAGGTTGGTCAATAATAGAAAAACTTTGAATTAGTTATGTTGATCTCGGAGAATTAATAATATTGATCTCTGATGCACTGGTGCACACTAAATCTAAAAGGTTAACACTTTAGCCTCTAAATCAATTTAAAATCTAAAATGAATAAAGTAAAAGTAGAAATCAGAAAAGTGTATAATCTTATGTATATTGACTTTATACTTTAGATTATTTTGATTAAGCCTCCAATTGAATCTTTGTTTTACATCTTTAATCGACCCAAAACAGAGTACATATACAAAGGGATAAAATAGAAATATTTTATAACCAAACTTAACAAATTAATTGTTGGAACATTATAGGTGTATTATAGGTGTTTTGGTGTGAATTAGAAAAATTATAAGTTTCATATAACTATTGATTAGTTTTCAACATTATATAGTGAAAAATCACATTTCTTATGAAAGTATTCCGAAAGCACTATAAATTATTGAGTTTTTTCTCTATTTTCTTCACCGCTACTATTTATTGAGTTTTTTTGCTCTATTTTCTTCATCACTAATATGGAGTTAATAAGCAGTTATTTTATTCTCTCCTTTCTGTCTCTGTGAAAATGTATTATTTTAGAGAAATCGTCTATTTGGAATTTTTGTGTGGTCATTTTGATAAATAAGTGTGGTCAAAGTACCATAGCCCATTCGATGAATTCAAATCTGCTGCAGTCAATGCTTTCACACAGTCATGCAGTTGAGATTTTACAAGCTGTTAGATTTTGAATAAGATAATATGCATCTTAAAAAATCTTTAAGACAATTTTAAATTTTCAAAAAGTGTGAAGTACCACAAAAAAAAAATTGTCTAAAACAAATGACTATATGGATGGGATTATGGGTGGAGTAGTTTGTATTGGGTGATGGGTGTAGGCCATCGGTCAGAATATCAAAACTAAGTGCAGGCATGTGCTCCCACCATCCCCAACGTAATATTATTATAAATAAGAACACTACAACTTTATAAACATGGAAATGAGCTTTTTTTTTTAGTACTATGGAGTTTAATAGTAATATTTTATTTTGGCTTTCTGCTAAATAATTGGTTTGTAAATTATGAAGGAAAATCACCCAGGATTGTAAACAATATATTGCCCTTGAATTGAATACTATATCCATTTACCAACTCCAAGGCAAAGACCTCTTCCATCAAAAAAAGCATGCATGACTGCTTTTACCTTTTGTGGTAAGTCTAATAAATTGGTTGGTAAGCTTTATTTTGACAGTTTTAAATGTCAATTTCTTTATTTAGACTTTTAGTTACTTATGTTGATGCATGTTCTTGTTCCCAAACCATTGCAATGTCCCCGTAATAGGTTATCATGGCTCTTTGACATAAAGTACTATGCACATGTTAGTTTGTGCATCAACTGTTGGAATAATTCACTGTCGGCGAACTTTCGAACACAAAAATGCAATTGTCTGGTTGAAAAATCTGTTGTCAACCACTTTTACTTTGGAAGAGGATTGTTTCATCAATGTTGTTGTTAGCACTTAGTTACTGAAATGATGTCCTTGTTTCTGACACAAGAGCCAACTTCAACTTGAAAATAATTCCAAAGCCACCTGCATCACCTTTTCTTATTGCCCGAGATTTCTTCCATGCCTGCTCATCAAGAATTCCCAATGTTGACATCTCAATCAGTATGGCAAGGAGTTTATGACTATTGGATCATGAATAGCTTCTCAATAAATAAGACCTCCACAAGAAAGTCTCTGAAGGATATCAGACACTTATGAGATTTAGTTTTAGCTCTCTTTTGTCTTGTTTATACTTTGATCCAAGACAAACATCACACGAGATTTATGTATGACTATTCATTTTATTTGGTCTAATAACAATGTGTGCAAACTTAAATTATTACAATATTAACCATGCATGTGCCACAGACAGAAAAAGAACAAAGGAAAACAAAACCACAGAAAGGTTCAAAATGAAAATGACTTCCAGCAGATCTCAAAGAATTCTACAGGCATAGGTTCCAGCCATTCCAAATCAGTGATCTGGGGTGTCTGAACGAAGAGCTGAAAAAAAATTAACACTTCGATCAGAGATAATACAGCAAATATACAAAACTAAAAACTCAAAGTTAAATGCAAACCACCAGGAGACGACAACAGATAAAGAGCATTAGGCAAACCAAATTTTGTGAACAATCAACAAAATATATTTTATATTTCACTTCAATATCCACCCTTTCTCCATAGATCCCTATCATGTGTATATCTTTTTCGGCTTCTAAGAGTGTTTTGTACAAACTTTATTGCATTCACTGTGTTTAAGGCAAAAGCAATTTAAGCTTATATGATTTAAATCTAAAAGCAAATTTGACATAAAAGCCAGGCATAGACTTCTAAAACTAATGAAAACATCACATTAGAATGGATTCAAAGAAAACATGAGTGCAAATTAAATATGGATTCAAAGCAAGCAGCATGCATAGGATTTGGAATAGAACAAAGCCAATAACAAAAGCTGCTGCAAAAGCATCCTCTCTCTCTCACGACATGGTTTCTAAGTTTTGTGAAGCAATGAAATAGACTAGCAGGTATGCGAGTGAGTAACTATGAAGCACACCCTCTAACACAAACAGGTCACCTCAACATGGCTAATGTCCACAATACATGACAGTGGGGCATGACAAGAATCGAAATTGAGAATTAAGATCAACGAGTCAAGATCGAGTGTTGGATCGTAAGATCTTACGTGCTAAGGATGCTTATGAGTGTTAGGATCAGAGAAAGATCATTTTTGTCACCGGAGTGGTCAAGATCGAGCTTTTTGAAGCAAGATCGTAAAAAAAACTAGCCGAGCTTTTTCTGCGCATATGTTACAATATTCGTGTTTTTGTGTGTATGTTTGTATATATGTGTATAAAATTACCCCTCCGGTTGGATCTTGCGTGCCATGCTAACGATCTGAGTTTTACGATCTTTCACAAGCCAACCGATCCTACTTAAAAACTCTCCCTTGACTATATTGATTAAGATTAATATATTAACCTAAATTACGACTATCATAACAATGATTATACTAAGAAACTATTTACAACGCAGTCTTAACATACATAATCCTAAGATAAGATGAATCATGTATTTTCTAACAAACAGTTAATCTTATGATAACCTGACTCATACATAATATGCTATTCATCCCAAAAAAAAAATCATTGTTTTCAAATAGTAATTTATGGATTAAACTATTAATCTAAGAAGCACGGACACCGGGACACGACACCGGAAATACGACACCAACACACTGTTTTACGTAAATCAAATTTATGTTGAACATTTTCTGAATTAAATAAATCAAATTAACCCTGTAAATTAAAATTAGGGTATGGAACAAAACCTAAACATGATAGTAACTAGATTTGATTTAACACATTGAAATTAGGGTACGAAAGAAAAGCAAAAGATGAGAGAAAAGGGATCGTACTAGGTTTTTCAGGCTTTCCGTCGATCCATTTGGAAAGAGAGAAATGAACCTTTTCGCGAGAGATAGCTTCGGTTTTGTGAGGTTCCTTGAGGCAATTTCTGACAAGATTGGCGCATATGTTGGAGTATGTTATGTATGTCATCCCTGCTGCTCTCCAAAACGGTACTGCTCCTCCGGCTGAGGCCATGGATCGATTCTTCTCGGGTTTTTTTTCCTTGGCTTTGTGAAGACTTATTCTCTACGGCTACACTTCCAGAAAAAAAATGACGACGAAAGAAGGAAACTATTGGGCCTGGGCCTAAATTGAAATGATAGGGGATTTCGTGAAATTAACATACCAACCCAATATTATACATGACACTTCAGTCTTGACACATTTACAAAAATGTTTATGAAATATATCATATTTTTTGAAATTTCCGGTGTAGTATTGGAAATTTTGTTGAAATTTCATTTTTTTTACCGTGTCATATAAACTTAATTGAAAATTTGAAATTTCCGGTACCAGATATTTCAAATTCCGATATATTTCATCCTAATACGAAATCGGATTTTTTGAAATTTCTGGTAGTACTGGAACTTTTTTTTAACTTTTATTTGAATAAAATACACAGAGAAATAGCGAACTGTCTTAACATATAAATAGAATAAATGTCATACATATATGCATTAAAAAAAACTACAATCACTTCCTAGACAATTCTTCCCAATGCTTGGAACGATCCACATATGTTGATTCCCATGCTTTTGCATCAGTAAAACAAATCTATCTCTAACTTTAGTTGAAGCCAATGATTATCGTTGACAAAACCAACAATAATGAGTGTATGTCGACTCGTGTACGGGGGTGGAACTATGAGAAGTGGAAAAAATATTATGTTAAGTCTCATGGAAATGGAAACAAATATGACTCTGTATTTAGAAGCAATATGGTAACTCATATTAGGAACCAACATCTATTTATCCCTACCCTGCTCTCGCAAGTGTTTTACTTGTAAAGTTGTCATAACAACAGAGACAATATCATAGAACAACTTGGATACATCATGTTGTTCCATTGATCCATGACATGTTTTGTCTTTCTGACTTCATATACTCCTTACATTTCATGCTCACGTTTTTTGAAATATGGAACGTATGCAACATATGTGTTGCATTTGGAAACACTAAATCAGTGGAATTTATTAATGCAAGTTCCCGGTCCGTCACCACAATATTCAGAAGCAACTTTTCTGAATAGAACAACTCTTCGAGCTTTTGTAGTGCCCATGTGAAGTTCTCCTCCCTTTCATGTTCCAAATAAGCAAAAGCAACTGAAAACGTCAATTTTGTTAATGTAACACCAATAATCTCCAGCAATGGTAGTCGGTACCTACACGATTAAAATGCACATAATCAACCACGTCACTTAACATGTTTTAGGATGAGAGAAGTAAAATTCTTATCCATTTGTCTTGTATGTGCAATCAAAAATTAACACCATATGAAACATATTCAATAACGTCAGAGAATCAGGATGTGTCCAAAAGATATCACCCACAATATTTGAATTCTCCCTATTTTTATTCCAACACGTGTATTTCTATTGATGAATAAGGCTCAATAATATTTTCATTTTTGTCATTGCACCTCTCTTGCGTAATTTATATGTTGCTCTAGCTCGGTATACCTGGGTAATAGTCGTGAGGTTTTCTGGGTCTTTGTCTTTCAAAACAGACAAGATGTACCTTGGTGCCATATTGTACTTCGTCTTGTCATTCACAAACTTTCTTTTGTGATCTTTTAGACGGCCAAATATGTCATGGTCTTCCAAATCCTTATCTAGTCTAATGTGCCTTCCGCATCTAACCATCACCTTTCAACCGATACCACTTGGAACATATCTCGGCCTAAATAGGCATTTAACCTTCTTAGTATAGTTTCCATCAGATGGATTCTCAGATTCATTTTTCTTTTTGTAATTTCCTCCTCTGTCGCAACCCATAATCAATTTATCCTTCCTCCCTCGCAGTCCATTAGCAAAATCAGACCGAATTGTAACAATAGTAATACCATGATTTTACTAATAGATTGTGCCCATTCTAGAACTTTAGCTTGTGATTCGAAAATCAGACAATTACAACAACATATAATTCGTTAACTTTATCAATTTACAAAAAACAAATAAAAAATGTGTAAATTAAATAGGAACCATATTGTATCTGTGATGAAGAATTGTGTAAGATCAGTTTATGAATCCGTAGAAGAAGCTGAAGCTGCCGATTCAGGATCGCAAAGATATAAAATTTCATCTGCTGACATACAGGAAATTTCAAGTATAATTGGAATTTCCGGTACCCCAGAAATTTCAAATCTCCGGTAAAGGTTTTCTACCGGTAAAGGTTAATCGCAACCAGAAATTTGTAGAATATGAAGAATTTCCTATATGCGACCAAAATCGACACCGAAAATTTGCTTAGAGCATCGGAAATTTCGATTTTTCACTACTTTGTCCAATAGTAATTTTTTTTTACAAAAGTAAAAAATTTAGAGTAAATAGTGAAAATGGTATTTTGGGAATAATGAATGTTATTTCTCTAGTTTTAGGATTGACGTTAAATTTTGTAAAACAAATAAGATAACAATATGATATGTAGGATGTATATAACTTGATAACATGAATAGGTTGAGCAAGATGTCCTATCTGAAGTTAGAATATGTTGAGTTGAAGAAGTTTCAACATCTAGAACAACATGTCGAAGAAGATGTCCTATGAAGCAGCATACGACATCGCGTCTGAGCTAAAGTGATTCTGTTAAATCAATTATGATTTGAGAAGTGTAGAATATTTAGGGAATATTTTGCAATCCTATGTGGCGCATAATCAATGGTCAATAGAATCAAGTCAGAATATCTGAAGAATATACAATTTCTAAATATGGAAATTATTTAGGAAACTAATGATTGAAGACTTTGATTATAGCAGAAGTAACTGCTAATTTGTAGAAACTGATTTGCTATTATTAGAAGCCCAGGTCAAGTTTGGAATAGTTTATTATTGTACCCCAAAATTTTCCCTCCCATTTTCTTTAAGACATTCTCCTAAGGTCCTCATTTGCTCAAGGTTGCCCAAGAATTAATCAGACAAATTCTTCTCCTAAGCAATGAGTCCACAACTAGGGTTTTGTGTTTCTCAAGGAAGATTGGGTTTCCAAGGTCTCAAGTGGTTTTCACGGTTCTTCATATATCTTCAAGAATTCTCATGTCAAGTTCCATGCCTTGCATCACAAGTTTGCTCAGTCAATGGCTCAGATGATTGAAAATCAACTGTATTGGATAAAAAGTCAATTGTGGTCAACATACAGTCAAACTTCAAGATTTTTGGTCAACATCAATATTTTGGAGTGATATTCATCATTTTATCAAAGGTTGGTGATGATTCCTCAAGAGAAGCTCTAAAATCATCAAAAGTCAAAAATTGCTAAATTAGGGTTTCCTTAGGAGAAGTCAATTGAACTTTGACCAAGCATAACTTTCACATGCCTTACCAACTTTTCCCCAACCAAATAACATTTTGAAGGAATTCAATTCTCTACAGATTTGTTTCTCTATGCTCAAGTCTAAAAAGTGCTTCATTTGAGAGATATGAGTCAATACATTATAGGTCAATTAAAAAGTCAACAAAAAGACACTTTTTGTCATGGCAACTTACATCAAGATAAAGTCTTCAAATGCAAAAATGATAAATAGAGAAATTGAAGAAGATATCTTGAGCTTTCCAAAAAATCTAAGATCACCTCCAAAAGATGAAAATTGAGAGAGGTATAGCCATTGCAAGTTAGGAAATTTTGGTAGAGTGCATGAATTTCAAATTGAGCAAATTTGCAATTTTGAGCTATTAGGTCATGGTTTAAGAGTCCAAATGTGTTATACTCTTCATACACCTCAGAAATCACTCATAAACCATTTGACCTTGTTTTATTTTAATTATTTTTAATTATTTTTTATTTAATTCATTAATAATATAAAATAAAATAAGATAAAATTATATCTTACTACAAGGTCCAAGTCCATCATATTTTTGCCCTAATTCTCTCTATATATTCATACATCACCACAAAACCCTAAGACCATGAAAATTTGCCTCTCAAAATTTTTAAAAAAACATCAATATATTTCAAGAACCCTAAAGTTTCAAACCCTTTTTTAAGCCCTTTCACCATAAAGTCTTCGTTCCATTCTCTTCCAGTAAGAACATAGAGTAAGTTTGGACCAAATTTGATAGTCCAAAACATGTAAATCGTACTACATGGCATCACCAGTCTCATCATGTTCATGACATTCATATCTTGTTTTCTTTTTTGCTTTAACATGTACTAACGTCCCTAACTTGTTTATGAGTATTGATAGTGCAGGTTAGAACACTCATGGAGGTCCCATACACCCTGAACCGTGAGCCACCATGCTAGCACCGATCTCATGTGTAACACCCCAGTTCTAACTGACAATTATAAATGTAAATTAGAGTTATAAAACATATGCATCTGAATCAAGATGCCACAAATTCAACTTAAAAATCATTGCATTCAACATGGATACATAACACTTTAAACCTTCGGATGAACCAACATCAAAATAAATTAATCTTTTAAATCAACAACTTGAACAACTACGCAGCGGAATCATAATAACATTTTTATCCAACATGAAAGCAACTTATGAATAACAAGTACTTAACAACAATCAACATAAAGTTCAACAACTGAAATAAAATCAACTAAAAGAAACAAGCATTCGTCCCCCCCGAGTGTTACATATCAGAGCAATGACACCGACTCGAACTACTGAAGGTAAACCGCCTTCACTCTGGATTACCTGCACGTTACCAACATCGGGGTAAAATTTAAACAGAAGGGGTGGGATATAGAACTCTATTAATAGAACGTATGATAAATATTATATTAGAATCAGTTCATGCAAAATCACCACTTCACAACTTATAACCACAACAATCAAAACAGGCTATCAACAAAATACAACAATTAATTCATCAACACAACAGCTTAATCATACTACTTGGAATGTGACTCAATATTATGCGAATGCATATGGTACCATTGGACCAGAACTCCCATCTTAAAAATGGAGCAGAATTTCCATCTTAATAATTGCCAATTAATAGAGGCATCCACAAGGCATAAGTCTTCT